ATGATTTCAGCTTCATATTTGAACATATCATGAAGGTTTGAGCCAAAACAAGCATCTGAACAGCGTCAATCCAACAACCTGATCTAACGCTAATCGATCACTGCATCAGAGTTCAGTTCCCACACTGCAAAACCTGCCAGAAGAAAACGTACCGTATTGTCCCGAATATAAGACGATATTTTTTTCTTGAAAATACATCTGAAAAAACGCGGTCGTCTTATATTCAGGGTCTAGACTTTGACATGTCAATAATACACCCACAACAATAGGTGGCGCCAAATACGCATAAAACGAGTGTGCCATGAAATACGTAATGTAATGCGTGTTGTAAAGATCGCGAGTAAAAACAAAAGAAAAAGAAAACCTTACAGCTGCATGAGTCGTGACTGTCACGTTAGCCTGATGGAACCAAACTCCCTTTGTGATTTTAAAACGTAAGACAGTACCCAGATTTGAAGACTACAGTAAGATTTAACTTCTACTGTTAATAAGATTTTGGTAGTATGGTAGTAGCTACTATTAGATGGATAGCCTAAATGTCCTAATTCAGATGGGCTACCTATTTTTTTTTTTTTAATGGTATATCAAAAAGTGTATATTTTTTAAATGTGATTGTTGGTACATTTTACCAGTTTTTACCATACTTTCAAAACAAAAATTAAAATAGGAAAAATATGCAATATGAAAATAATTGAAGACAAAATGTGTTTTACTGAGAAAAGCTTTTCTCTCAGATGTTTCTCCTAAAATGTTTGAGGAAAAATAAAAACACAAAGGAGTAGTTTTCATTTAGAGTAACCCAACTAACAAGGAACATTCTCAGAACTTTGGCTAATGTTCTGGCAATGTTCTCTCAAAGTTATGAACAAGCATTCTTCCAGTAATGTTAATAGAACATTTGTTTAGAGTAGTCTGGTCTTTAATAATGTTCTCAAACCGACAGTGCAAAAGCTGTATTTATGCATTGCTAATGGGATGTTTTATTTCTAAAAAAAAAAGAAATGTTCAAAGAACATTCAGAAGTAATGTTTTCATAACTTAATGGGAATGTTAGCGAGACGTTCTTAGAACATATTTGCGTTAGCTAGGAAAATGAATGTACATAGCAGATCATGTGATCTTGGAAGATTTCACATTAAGGGGATAGTTCACCCAAAAATGAAAATTACCTCATGATTTACTCACCCTCAAGCCATCCTAGGTGTATACGACTTTCTTCTTTCAGACAAATACAGTTTATTAAAAACTCCAATAATCCTGGGTCTTCCAAGCTTTATAATGGCAGTGAATGGGGGTCAAGATTTTGAAGCCCAAAAAAGTGCATCCATCCATCATAAAAAGTGCTCAACACGGCTTTGGGGCTTAATAAAGGCCTTCTGATGTGAAGCGATGCATTTATGTAAGAAAAATATCCATATTTAATACTTTATAAACCGTAATCTCTAGCTTCCGCTAACTGTTGTACGCGCGTACATGAAAGTGTGGCGTTCCAGCGGATGATGTAGGCGTAGCATAAGCTCCAGTGCATCCATCCACTGACCCCCATTCACTGCCATTATAAAGCTTGGAAGAGCCAGGACATTTTTAATATAACTCTGATTGTATTCATCTGAAAGAAGAAAGTCACCTAGGATGGCTTAAGGGTGGGTAAGTTCTTATAAAGATCATATTAAAAATTTTAAGTTTGATTGCAGACAAATCTGAGTACAATTTGAGACATGGTTGAGATTTCTACTGAAACTCTAGAATAGACACATGTGAGATCACTGGAGACACTTACGCTTTAGATGAAACTAAACTCTCCATTAGACATTAAAGAGCAAATGAGACAAATCTTAATTGAGGACAATCACAATCATTTCTCCGTTGTGGATATTGACAAACTAAAGCAAGGAACAGCAAAATGTGCCATCGTGGAGAACATTAGTGCAGTCAGCATGTGTGTGTGTATCTGAAGAAGTGTCAACAACGAGCAAAGTCTAGAGTCCTTGAAAAGAGCATTGCAATAATAAATTAGAGGATTGATGTTGATATATTTTTTTTAATACTAAAGACAGAATGTGTCATTTCACAACAGTGAGTACACAAAGAAACACATTTGTACTAAAAGTCATCAGGAATGTCTCTGTAGTGGTTTCACGCTTGACCAGCTGCCCACCACTATAAGTTTCCATGCATGATAAACAAACGTCAGCACTTATGCCCAAAGGGATTTATGGGGATTTGGAAACGTGCAAAAATCAGGCTCTCAACAAACACACATTCTTCATTGAAAAAAAAATTATGATTAAAAGTTTTCCAAGAACAGCTCGACAGGTTTACTATCAGATTTGACACCAGGGTTGTGCCCTATTCAGAAATGATTTGAGAATGCATTAATAATTCCTGTATTTGAACTGAATTTGTATCGAGGTAGCAGACAGAATACAGAACTACAATTTGAATTTGAATGCAAGGATTTATAGAATTAAAACAATGAAACTAAAAGGAAATTCAGTTTTTAATAATCCCATTTATTTAGTATGAATCACCTTTATCGTATATATAATTTTTTTACTTTTTTTGTATAATTTAATAATACTTTAGGGATTTTATGGACCAAAATTTGAAAACAGAATGCTTTAATTTACTTTAAAAATCGGCATATAATCAGTGGATTAAAAATATTTTTGAAAACAATGTAGTTGTCATTTTTTGGTGCTGTATTGCAAAATTAAAATGACTTAATTGTTTTGATAGTATTTACTGTAAATGCATATAAGGAAATAAATTAGCAAAATTAGTCAATTAATGATGCAATTGTTTGTTTGTTTTTTGTAGTAAGAAAATTGCTGTTGTATGACTGTGTACAATTCACTACAATTCCTCTTCCTGTAATTACAATTAACATCCTGTGAGCAAATTACTATATTAATTCAAAGCAAATCAGTTCAACTGTCTGACAGTCACTAAAACATGCATGAAGTGGCCGATCAAGACCACACATGCACAAAAACACATATCTGTAAGATCTAAACCTGAGAAATCATATGTTAATGACCACCTCGGTTCCCAAGCAAACGTGCAACAACAAGCCACAGAAAGACAAAGAACATATGTAATTTAATTTGCTTTCACTTAGGTGACCTAGCAAAAACAATCAGCCTCTGATGACTGTCTCCACTTCACCTGCTCTATTGTGCTAATTTTTAGGCATCATCAGGACAGTAGATTGATTCATCGATGTGGGAGGAATTACAGTGACCAATCAATTAACGTTTCCGGGTGACCTCAGCCAATCAGATCCCAGGCCTGAATAAAACCACAAAACCTAGTTTGAATCGAACCTCTGATCTGTGCGAGCTTTAAAAGCTATAAACAAAAAAGTCAAGCCTCCATGACCATTAAGCTCACCTATATTGACTTCAGTAAATGAAGTAATGTCTCCTCAAACAGATGGGCGAACGGAGATAATGTCTGCGGGACCTTTGCCCTGCAGGGGTGAATTGGCTTTATAATGCGAATCAAACACGAGCAAAAAGCTTGTGTCAGCTAAAAGCTTTTATTCCCCATCCTAAATGATGATAATGGTTTCTGTGAATGATTGTGTTTGTCTTGTATTGTGATCAAGAGGGACGTTTATGTGCTTGTTTGCCAGACTGATGTCAGAAGAAGGTTTAGATTTGGGATTGATCAAGCACTCGGGTCAAGCTGTCATTGCTGTTGTTTGAAAATGCGGTCACGTCCACCTGGAACGGATCCTGAATGTCAAATGTTTTCCAAACAAATACTACTTTTCAAAAGATAACAACTATTGGGAATATAAATGGCACACATATATCTGATTATCATTCCAAATATTGCCAGTCAACTGTAGTCAAACATAAGTTGCAAAACCAGATTTGTTAAGCAATACATCACTGATTTTTGAGTTCCAGGACATTAGTTCTCAAGAAACTATTTTTTATTATTTTAAGTTGTTCAGAGATATTCACTTACGTTTGCATGCGATATACTTGTTCAATAAATTAATTAATTGAGACCACTGGATTTCAGGATGATTTTTAGCTCCATCTATTGAATGTTACCTCAGACTTGTTTATATCTTGGCAAGTAAAATTTTGACGTTTAGTTGCATCCCAGATAGCACACGTACGTCTGCAAGATGTCTGTTAAAGATCGCTTCATCTGGAAAGCATCTGCTGTGTACAAACATCTGATAGACGTCTTTAAGATGTCAGTTTTACATGCATTCTAAATCATAAACATCTTAAAGACATCTTCTAAACGTCTATTTGACATCAGATAGGAAACGTCCTAGATATAGACGTATCGCAGGTGAGCAAACTCTAAAAAATACATCTTGCAGATGTAAATGCAGACGTCAAATAGACATCTCCGTGATGTACGTGTGCTATCAGGGATGACTCAAGAACCAGTGATATTATGTCTGCTAAAGAATTAGTACTGAAAGTTTAAAACATCACTTTAATAATCCACAAACCTGGTAAGGCGGTTCTTGCTATTTATATAGCCTATCATAGAACGCTTTAATAAACCACGCCTAGACATTAAATAAAATGAAATGGCATTTGTTAATGTCATACAGTACACTGAAAAAAGGTGAAAAGTGAAAAACAAATCAACAAAGAAATTGCTATAATAAATTATAAAGAAAGCTAAAGTTGAATTAAACATTACATTTTTAACTAGAAAGACTGAAATATTATGTTCTTGTAAAACACTCCAGTAATGTTTGTTTACAACTTCAAAATCATTTTAAAGTGTACATCCTCTATTTATAGGCTAGATACGTTGAAGAACTTCAGTGACTGACCAAAGCAAATTTCCACTTAATTGCGTTCCGTTCATATTAAAACTCAAATAAGAGCGGACGTGACGCTTCAGAAGTAAAACAACGCAAGCAAGCGCTCCTTATAACGGACGCGTTCTAGTTTTGACGCGTAGCGTCGTTCTCAGTGGTGACCTTGGGTTGATAGCGTATAGAAACGCGCTCTTACCCTCAGCAGAGAGAATCTATGGTCCCGTTCTTCAGTTCGCCGATAATTCCTCCCGTTTCCAGAAAGGCTTGCGGTAAACTCTTCTTCAAGGCTCCATCTCAATCTGTCTTCTCACAGAGGTGAACTTTGCTCCAAACACGGAGGGTTTTGGGTAGCCAAGGCGACTTTGCTGATACAGACAAAAATGTCAAACCAAAAAATAAAGGTGATGACAAAAAGTCTAGAACGTTGCAACAGTTGCGCTCGAGCGAGAGTGACAGGTGCTTCGCGCTCGTAACGCTACCTGCCGCGCGAGAGGGGGCGGAGCCTGCATATGAACGCATGCCCTTTTAATGCAGTGTTTCTGGAACATATACAAAACATTTTAGTCATGGAATATTTAAAGGATCTCCCCCCGTTTGGTTAAAAAAAAAAAAAAAAAAAAAAAAAGGACATGAATAACTTCTTATTCTTTTGTACACATTATGAAAGGAATGTTTACATAAAATTCACTCACTTCTCTTCCAAAAAAATATGCTTTTTGGATAACGACTGGAGGATATTTATTGCATTCTTTACTGCTATTACAATACATAAACAAAACAGCATATTATTAAGTAAAAGTAAACATTAAGTAAAAAGGTAGAAAATATTAAACACGGAATAAAAAAATATTTTTTATTGATAATACTCAAAACTAACATTGAATAATTGCAATATTTTCTAAAGGTGCTGCATCCGTATCTACTTTATTCATATCCATTTCAATGTCACACAATGCATTTAAGCAATTTATTTAAATTTTACGTTGAGACCGAATGACTATCCATTATTTACAGATATACTAAAAATGTAAAACAATAAATAAATAAATGCACAGACCTATGTAACATTAAGTAAACATGTAAATAATACTTAATATTGCATTAAAAAAACATTGAATAATTCAAATATTCTTTAAAGGTGCTGCACCTGTATACTCTATTTTTATATCAATTTCACTTTCACACAATGCATTTGTGCATTTCCGCAACATACAAGTAATTTACTGCATATGAATGCAAATCATTTAAATGTAAATCTTCACTAACAAATATAAATCAGATTTGTTTTGCTTTTCTCCAGCTAAAACATGTATCCTCCACCTGGTGCACTATACCAGAAACATTTCTACCTTAAAAATTGACTACCTGGAGCAAGATAACATTTGGTTTATTGGTTTATTGAAAGTCCTCCCTTCATTATCAACCATTTTATTGCCAACCTTTATGCACCATATATTGGCAAAGCAGAAAATGGGTTTAAAGGGGCATGCCTGGCTTAAATCGATATAACCTCTGCATTTATATCAGAACATGTATGCTGTATTGTGACGTTTGTTTAGGGATGTAAGCAAATTCCTGTTCCTGATCCAGTTCTGTAACCCTGTATGATCAAGGAGAAGCATCTTCAAAGAACGAAGTGAAAGAAGAGCAACAGGGTGGAACATTGGTCAGGTTTGTATGTCACTAGATATGGAGCATGACTCCGGCCTGCAAACACACTTTACTCTTCCTGATCAGTCTAAAATCAGGATGGATGGGTTTTTTACCTGGTTATTTAAGAATAAAAATGTAACCGTTTACTCACCCTCACATCGTTCCAAACTCTAATAGCTTTCTTTATTCTGTACAAAATGAAAGTCGATGGGGACCAGAGATTGTCAAGCTCCAAAAATAACACAAATAGCATCATAAAAGCATCATAAACATAGTCTATGCATCTCATGTTCTATATTCCAAGTCATCTGTTTACAAACAGACCAGTTGTTATTCAATAAACTCTGGTCTACTTGACAGCTGTGGTCACTGTCTGGACATTCTGCTCCTTTTTGTTCTACATGAAAGAAAGAGACATGAAGGTGAGTGGATTATAATAAAATTTAACATTTTTGATGAAAAATTCCTTAAGGAATATTTCACCCCAAAAATGAAAATTTGCTGGAAAATGTACTCACCATATGTAGATTTGGAAAAATTAAGCATCACATTTCTTGCTCACCAGTGGATGCTCTGCAGTGAATGGGTGCCGTCAGAATGAACGTCCAAACAGCTGATAAAAACATCACAATAATCCACAGCACTCCAGTCCATCAGTTAACATCTTGTAAAGCAAAACGCTGCATGTTTGTAAGACACAAATCCATCATTAAGGTGTTTTAGCATTAAACAGTCGCTTCTTGCCAAACTACCAATCTGTAGTCCCTGATATTGCTTTCTCCAGTGAAAAAGTTGTCTCATCTGAATCAGGAGAGAAATATGCACGAATCAAGCACTGTTTACAAGCAAAAGCAGTTCAAAACAAATATGTCAGTGGTTACTTGTGGATTATTGTGATGTTTTTATCAGCTGTTTGGACGTTCATTCTGACGGCACCCATTCACTGCAGAGGATCCACTGGTGAGCAAGTGATGTAATGCATGTAATACATTTCTCCATATCTGTTCTGATGAAGAAACAAACTCATCTAGGAAGGCCTGAGAGCACATTTTCATTTTTGGGTGAACTATTCCTTTAAGATGAAAATACACATGACATCAAACAGAAAATCACACACACACACACACACACACACATTAAAAAGTCCACAGGTTGGTGAACTGCAGTACATGCACACAGACCAGTGGAGTGTTTGACTTTAGAAACCTTGAGTTTTGGTTTATAATTAACATCAGAGGACAGAACTATGACACATGAAATGCTCACTTTCTCAGGTTTACATTGACTGCTGAAAGAAGCAAGTTCTGTTAAACATTATTCATAAAACTGCACAAAAGAATGACTGGCAAATGGCAAATTTGTTTGAGGTTTGGTGAAACTGGGCATTAGGATAGCAAAGAGCAATTTGCATGTGGATTTAAGTGACGTGACATGTGGCCAAGTATGGTTACCCATACTAGGAATTAATGCTCTGCATTTAACCCATCCTTAGTGCACACACACAGCAGTGAACACACACACCCGGAGCAGTGTATACTGTACATTTGAATGTACAGTTCCCAAACAGAGTTGACTGTAGGGCACATCAGTGATTTCACACAGTAAAAAACATCATTTCACATGCTAGAGAAGAGATACACACCAATAAACCTCGCACAGTAAAACCACAGACTGCACACGATTAAATCAAATCTGATTCTCAACATATTACATGTTAAATAAACGCCCTCTGCTGGACAAACTAACAACGTGCTTAATAGGCTACGGCTACAAAAAGTTCTTAGTAAAAGTCATTAGTCTTATATATATTAACACAAACACACACACAATTTTCATTTTAAACCAGTTAATAATATGAGGTTTCATAAGCAGAAAAACATTTTAATATGTTTGTTTAAAATATGGTTTACATGTTGTATATTAAAAAAATATATATGTTAAAACATTTGGATAGGATACAGCATTTTATTAATTTATTATACATATTTGCTTTATCACAATATTCTGACGGATTTTGTTCTTGTAGTGTTTTTTTCTTTCTTTCTTTCTTTCTTTTCAATTTCAGTGTTTGCAAACAGTGATGAGGTTTTTTGTGGGCGGAGTCTATCTGGTGGCAGAAAATGACAGTTTTTTGCAATTTCCGAGATTATATCTCACAATTCTGGTAAGAAAAATCTCTCGTCATTCTTTCTTTTTAGTTTATAATCCCACACTTCTGGCTTTTTTTCCTCAGAATTGACAAACTCGCAATTGTTGAGTTTAATCAAGTTATAAAGTCCGAACTATGAGATATAAACTTGCATTTGCAAGAAAAAAAGTCAGAATTGTGAAATAAAATAGTTAAATGTTATGTAAAATGTTATAGGTTTAAATAGTATTTCATGCATGTATTTCAACTGTAGGGCTAATACAATATGTCCCCTATATGAATATTATATAGACCTATTGTTTAAATCAAATGTATGCTTTAAAAGTAGGGTAATCATAGCAGGTTTCATCCATAGTCTGTCCGTTTAAACGTCTGCGTTTAGCTTCAAATGGCGTCTTTGACGACAGTGTTATATAAAAATGATTTGCATTCCGATTCTAACATCCGAAGGCACAACAATACATTTTTTCTCTTATTCCATGGATTTTACCCGTTTCCCTCCACTTGGTTTTTCTGCCACCCACTACGCGCGCGCAGCTGCAAGTGACGTAACTGTGACGTCTATTCCAAATTGGTCTATCCACCTTTTTCTTCAACGCGGAAGTAAGCCTATGGGCGAGACTTCCGGATCATTAACCGCTATAGGTAAATAACGACAAGAATACTACAAACCAGTGTGTTCATAGTTAAGATAATACATTAAAACAATATGGTAAGGCACACCAATTTTCAATATCAAGCAGCAAAACGAACTGTTTTGTACAGCTAAAAATAGCTGGA